AAAAAAGACAAAAAGGAAGAAAAAAAAAAAAAAAGATGCTCAACATAACTAATCATTAGGGAAATGCAAATCAAAATTGCAGTGAGATACGACCTCACCCCCACTAGGATGGTTACTCTCAAAAAAACAGAAAATAACAAGTGTTGGTGAGGACGTGGAAAAATTGGAACCCTTGTGCACTGCTGGTGGGAATGAAAGTAGTCCAGCTGCTGTGGAAAACAATATGGAAGTTCCTCAAAAATTAAAAACAGAATTCCATATGACCTAGGAATTCCACTTCAGAGTATATACCTAAAAGAATGGAGAGCAAGAACTTGAAGAGATATTTGTACATCCATGTTCATAGCAGCATTATTCACAATGTCCAAAAGGTGGAAGCCACCCAGGTGCCCATTGACAGATGAATGGATAAACAAAATGTGGTATATACCAAACAATGGAACATTACTCAGCCTTAAAAAGGAAGGACATTCGGATATATCTACAACATGGATGAAACATGAAGATATTATGCTAAGCGAAATACATACACCAGTCACAAAAAGACAAATACTATATGCTTCCACTTATAGGAGGTACTTAGAACAGTCAGATTCATACAGACAGAAAACAGAACAGTGGTTGCCAGGGCTGTGGGGAAGGGGAAAATGGGAGTTGTTTTTTAACGGGTATAGAGTTTCAGTTTTGCAATGGGAAAAGAGTTCTGGAGATTGGCCACACAACAATGTGAACTACTAACACTACTGAACTGTATACTTAAAAATGGTGAGGATGGCATATTTTATGCTATGCATACTTTACCATAATTAAAAATAAAAATATTATATTAAGAACTTATCTTTTATTGCACCCATATCTCAGAAAATGGTATGTAAAAAGACATCCCATGTTTGCCCTATTTCCTTTACTGCCCATACTCCCCGAATTTGCATTCCATAGACTGAGAAGATGGCTTTAAGGACAACCGGTTTTCCTTCTGGTAGTGTCTTCTCTTCCCCAAACTGGCTTTTACTTAGTCAAAGACAGTGCTGACCAGTGAGCATAAGTATTCTGGCACCCCTGGTCACCCGGTGCTTGCTGCAGGTTGATAAGTTAGTATTAATAAAGCAGTTGTGTACTTAATCAGCACGAGTCAGATTCCTGGAATCTGATCACCCCAGAGTGAAGAGACAAGACAGAAATTCTGAACCTGCCAACCTAAGGACGAACCCTTGCAGTGATGATGACCCCAAGCACAGCCACCCCTCCCCCAGTGGCTCAATTTGACATGGACATGGGTCTCTCCTCCTAAAGCTTAATCAATTGGGAGAGGAAGCAAGGTTAGGTGAGAGATTGACATTCAAAGAGAGGGAACCAAGTGGGAAGCAGGACTCAAAACACTAGGGTGGGCGCCAACAGAGAGAAACTGAAGGATTAAGTGCAGTACCACAGAAGACATCTCAGTGACCTGGAAGGGGGAATAGGAACAAAGGAGCACAGGGAGGTCACTGTGGTGTGCACACTGTGCACATACATGGCATAACAGCATTTATTAAGCGCCAGCATAGATGGACTTTGGGAGTGGGGCACAAGCCCATAGGACCCCAAATAGTCTACTGCAAATGAAATAAATAAAACGGACAGAGAGGAACATAACAAAGCACAAGGCAACATAACATGCCGGCTGAGAACATGGGTCTGTTGCTAAACTGTTTGGCCTCAGGTCCTGACTCTGCCCCTTCCTGATTGTGTGACTTGAAAGAATTGCATAGCCTCAGTTTCCTCATCTGTAAAATAGGGATAAAACTAGCACCTGTGTCATAGGCTTATTTTAAGGACTAAATGAGTTAACATACAAGTAATACATAGATCAATACCCAGTACCAGTAAAACACCTAATAAATGTTAGCTTTTGTTACCTACTTACATATCACAATAACAATTTATAAAGCTCTATTCATGAGTAACTTCTGGGGATAGGGCATGGAATATTTTAAGGATGGAATCTATGCATGCACAAGCATGGTCTATTATGATCTATGGTTTATAAAACTATGTCTTTATAAAAAGATATAAGGGGTATTTTAAAAGGTCATGGAAAGATTCATATTATCTTTTAATTCCATCTTTTCATGAACTTTTTGAAGTACCCTTGTATATGTAGATGCTGCGGTGATGGAAAAAAGGCAAGTAATTAAAATTATTATTTAAATTATAGAAGCTCTTAGTCATCAGATGCTTTCTCAAATAGGGAACTGCCATGATTACAAAATGAATAATTGTTACTAATACACTTCTACAGTATTTACCCTGCACCTGGCATTCTTCCAGTAAGTTATATATATCAATGCACTTAACCTTTAAAATTACTCTAGGAAGTAGGTTATTTTTCTTATTTGTTTGTTTTCATCCGTAGAGAATTGTAGTGACTACCCCAAGTTACAAAGCCAGTAAGCAGGAGAGCTGGGACTGAAAGTCAAGCCGCCTTGCTCAAAGCCTGTGTTCTTAACCACCAGGCGACAGCCCCTTAACATGTGGCTCCATGAGGCCATCTGACATTTAAAAAGGGTCTCACACTTGAAAGTACAGGAAACCACCAGGGCATGAAGAATGTCAGCCCTTTACAGGAGGGAGAGAGTAGAGAAGAAAACTCATTCTAAAATATATTAAGTAGAAAAGGAAATTTGTTCTAAACTATATGAAGTGGAAAAGGAAATTCACTCTAAAATGTATTATGGTTGGACATAAGGGCTTCTTGTATGCCTTACCCACAGGAGTAAAAGGCTTAGACTTTTGATCCTGGGTGGAGGACAGGATGAGAGCCCAGCAAAGTTCATCTCGAAATCCCAAAGTGGCTTATCACTAGAAGTCCCTGCTCTGAGTCCCCTGTTAGAACACACTGGACAGCTGACACGATGCTGACCTGTGCAGGCACGTGGGATGTCTGACTTACCGGTCGGGGCAGACTGTACTGATACATCTCTGGGCGGTAGGTTGGCACCCACTGCACCCCGGCCCTGGGCCGTGTCATGGTGCCCGGAGCGCTGGTCACCACCTCCGAGTAGGGCAGGTGCTGGGCTGAGCCGTAGGCTTCCTGGTGCCGGCTGTGGCCGGCATGGCCTGCGGACGCCAGGCTGAAGGCCTCCTCCAGCAGCATGTGCATCTGCTGCCTCACCTCGTCGATGGAGGGCTGGGAGCTCAGCGTGGAGGTCTCCGAGTGGCCTTTCACCTGCCGCGACCTGGCGTAGCCCCGGGGCTCGTGAACTCTGTCCACGTTGGTTTCCTCTATGATTTCGGGCTCCGTCTGTGGGACCAAACAAAGCCATTGATTTGTTAATTAACTTCCCTTCCCATTAAGGCAGTCTGTAATTTACTCTAAAACATTCACTCAGACAGGTTATATTGTCTACGGCCATGCCACCCTGAACGTGCTCGATCTCATGAGACAGGCGATACTATGCATCTGTGCTAATTGAAGTTATGTCTTATGTGCTCTATCCAGGAATTCACACTACAGGGGAAGTCAGCTAGCATTGTACCAGTAAGGCCACACTCCAGCTGTGACTGTGCATTTCAGTTGTCCATAGTTCCACCAATGCCACACACTTTACTAATTAGCATAATAAAATCACGAGAAATGGCTTTCACTGATGAAAGTAATGGTATTCTCTAAAATCACACTCTCCATCCTTATGCCAGTGGGTATAAGAATCTGGAGTGTCCTGTAGTCTCCACATGGAGGATGTCACTCTACACTCTAGACTAACTCTCTAAATGGCCCTGTGTCCAGCTACTCATTAGAGAATTGCTGGTTGCCTGATGCCAGTCATCAGAGACAGTAACATAATCCTGCTTCCAAATCGCTGATCTCAAAGTATGGTGCACACTCGACCAGGAGTTCTGGGATGAGGCCTAGCAATCGGTACTTGAGTAAGCCCTCTGGGAGATTCTGATGCCTGCTCAAGTTTGAGGTCTACTGATCTAGAATGTTCTCATGCCTTTCTCCACTGAACCTTTCATTCAGGGAGCAGCTTCAGTACCTAGGTGGGCAGAGAGGTGGAACTTCATCAGTTTCCAGAGCAGGCTGCATGGACTGTCTTACGCTTGCCTGCTAATGAATGCTTGTTTAATAAGTGTCTGCTATTTGCTCTGAGGCTTCTCGGCTACTATGACATGGGATGCCCATAGGAGCTCATTCTCCAGCACGGCACTTACACAAATCTCAGAGTGCAAGAAAGCAATAAGCAAGAGAAAAGGGACCACTACAGGGGCACAGTCAGGTTGCTGCCTTGGAGCAGATGTCACAGCAACAGCCAGACCTAGAAGGTGCTGAGAAGGTAAAAGGGCATTAAAGATGTTCAACCAGGAAGTTACTTTAACTTTTCAGTGTTTCCACTTCCTCATCTGTAAAATGAGGGTAATATTGCCTCAAAGGGTTTTTATAAGGATTAAATAAACATGCACGTAAAGATTTTAGAACAGTAGCACATGGTAAAAACATGCCATCGTCATAATCATCATTATTATTTTTGTTCATTCAATGACACATTTTTCATGGAATTACATTTTCATAGGGACTCACTTATAAAGGGAAGCCCTTCCCTCCTCAAATACTTCACCTGAGGGTCAGAACTGTGTTATATTTCATTTTTTTAAAGTATATTTACTTTTCTTTAGCATTAAATCAATACATGCTCATTAGAGAAAAAAGCAAAAATACAGAAAGCACACACACACAAAAATTAGACATTTCCTGTAATCTTATCACCCAGTTAGGACCTGGCTATAGTTCAAGATCAAAAGTGAGATTTTCTACAATCTTTAAGTCTAGGTTTGTAACAGCCTGAACAGAAGTGATTCCATTTTGTTAAACTTCTAAATTAAAAAGTTTTTTTTTTCTTACTCTTGCAACATGAACTGCATAGCTTGCAGCTGGACATCAGAATACAATGACTCTTGTTCACGTGACTGCTAGAACATAATGACTTTTGCTCACATTGTACACAGAATAATTATAGAAGAAATTATTAACCCAGATGGCCATTCTTTGCTAGCTTACTAACTAGATCTTTTTGAGGTTAACAGGAACTGAATCTATGACTGGACTTCATGCAGGATGGTCATCGTGATGGTCACCATGAATCAGCTCCCACCCAAGAAGTTCTTTGATGTTTATCTGTAATTTTATGATTATGCCTGCATGTCACTGTTTAGGTCACCATGAATCAGCCCCCTACCACCTGTCCTTATAAAACCCTTGACAAGTCTGGGAAAAGTGGAGATGGTCTTTGAGACACAAGTCCACCATTTCCCCAGGCTGCCGGCTTCCTGATTAAAGGCTACCTTTTTTTTTTTCTTTTCTTTTTTTTTTGTCCTTTTTTGTGACCAGTAAGGGGATTGCAACCCTTGGCTTGGTGTCACCCAGCACCGCGCTCAGCCAGTGAGCGCACCGGCCATCCCTATATAGGATCCGAACCCGCGGCGGGAGCGCCCACTGCACTCCCAGCGCCACACTCTCCCAAGTGAGCCACGCAGCTCCCACCCAAGAAGTTCTTTGATGTTTATCTGTAATTTTATGATTATGCCTGCATGTCGCTGTTTAGGTCACCATGAATCAGCCCCCTACCACCTGTTCTTATAAAACCCTTGACAAGTCTGGGAAAAGTGGAGATGATCTTTGAGACACAAGTCCACCATTTCCCCAGGCTGCTGGCTTCCTGATTAAAGGCTACCTTTTCTTTTTTTCTTTTCTTTTTTTTTTTTGTCCTTTTTTGTGACCGGTAAGGGGATCGCAACCCTTGGCTTGGTGTCACCCAGCACCGCGCTCAGCCAGTGAGCGCACCGGCCATCCCTATATAGGATCCGAACCCGTGGCAGGAGCGCCCACTGCACTCCCAGCGCCACACTCTCCCGAGTGAGCCACAGGGTCGGCCCAAAGGCTACCTTTTCTTATACCAACACTCGTCTGTCAATTATTGGCTATTGAGCGGCAAGCAAACGGACCTTTGGGGTTTCGGTAACAGATTTATAAACAAACATTCATAGTAAGTAATTTAAAAATACTATTTTTACATTAACACAAGCAAGGATATGTTATGGAGTAGAATATAAAATTACCTTTGTGATAATAAACAAGAACTCAAAGACATATCATGCCTGGGTACGTGCCACCAAACCTGGGGCTAGGGGACACATTAAGGCTTTTCTGCTGTTAGGGGCTCTTCAGGGAAAGGCTTGAGATCACTGTCTGGGAAATGTGCTCCCTGAAGGCCTGTTGAGATTTTTCCTGGCAAGACCTTCTAGGATAGTGAAGGCAACTTCTGAAAGAAATTTTCTTCACGACACAGAACATTCTGGACTGAATTTCAGAGCCTGAAGGGACTTTAGGAGAATCATTTAATTCAAGCTCCATTTTACAAATGAGGAGGTCAAGGCCAGAGCAGTTAAGTCACCCAGAGTCAGGTAGGGGTGGGACATCAGGGCTGGCACACACAAAGCTTCCTGCATTTCCTCTCCAGTGCTGGCTGCTGCCCACACATGGCCCTGCCTCCCCACATCCCCAGTCTCCCTAATACATAAAGGCTGCTTGATGCTCAACTACTCCCAGGTGGGAGATTAATGGCACGGGGTGAGCTGAGTTATGATTTTTCCAGCCCACAGAGCTTCCACTCTGCATGGAGCGGAGAGGGGGAGTGGTCCCTTTAACTGGAAGGCCCAGACTTTAATGGCACGGGGTGAGCTGAGTTATGATTTTTCCAGCCCACAGAGCTTCCACTCTGCATGGGGCGGAGAGGGGGAGTGGTCCCTTTAACTGGAAGGCCCAGACTCATAACCCAGGTTTGCTCAAGCCACTTCCTAAAGAACTCCTGTTTCTCCACAATTCTCACTTGGTTTTCCAGTCTTTCCATATCCACAGATGGAAACAGCATTAGCTCTCAGTACACCCTGGGCTTCCTCTCATCACATTTGGATTTGCTTGTTTAATGTCTGTCTTGCCCAAGATTGGTCACTCCCTCAGCTCATTTCACCTGTTTCTCATGAGCCTAGCATAAGACACTTGTCATTCAATAAAGCTTTGCAGACTTGAACTGAAATAATAAATTCTGTCCAATTTCCCCAAGGAGTGGAATTTGAGGTTAAGATAAAAGGCCTACTTTCCATAACATATTTCTGCATTGCTAATGAGCTGCATGACCACGAGCAAGTTGCACGAACTCCTTAAGCCTCAGGCTTCTCATCTGTAAAATGGGAGAGTTCAACTATGGTCTGATATTTACTGTTTCTTGGATGCTATCTACTCTAGGAGGTGCCATGCTCCTCCTATTATCATCATCCTTGGGAGAATCTGATGTCTACTACTGAGGAGAAACACCACCCCCTTTGCAACATATGATTAGCCATAAGCTTGTTCTTTTACTTAACAGACAACTGCTGGTTTCAATCCTGTGCTAGGCCCTGGGTTGGGGGTTGTGGATACAATGATTAAGATGGTGACCCATCCCTGAAGGAGCTCCCAGTCTCCAGGAAGAGACAAATAACAAAAACAACAAAAATAGCAGCTAACATTTACTAACAGCTTGTATGCCAGACACTGTTCTGAGTGCTTTATACATATTGACTCCTTCCATGCCTACAATAACTTATGAGGTAACAACTACGATTATTCCCATTTTACAGATAAGGAAATTGAGGCATTGAAAGATCAAATATGTTGCCCATAACTGGCAGAGCTGGGATCTGCACCCAGGAAGTTTGACTCCAGCACCCGAACTCTTACCTACTATATATACATAAACAGATCCATTACCGTACCTCAGTTGTTAGCTCTGACAGAGGGACAACAGGCTTCTGTGACCAGGAGGGCAGAAGATAAAATGATTATTGATTGCCTCATAGATTACTATAAGGATGAAAAGCATCAATACCTAAATATACAGCACTTAGAAGAGTAGCCGGCACATAAGCATTTAATAAATGTTAGCCACTATTATTACTGTTATCTGCCTCTTCCCATAGTCTGGGAGCTTCTTTAAGGTTGGGTCAGTGTCTTATTGATTATCATATTCACAGCCCCCTATCCAGGGCCTCACCCAGAGCTGAATCCAGTTAACTGTCTGCTAAGCAAAAGAACTTAACATAGGAAGAGCTCAGATCTACCGGAGGACCTACGATGTGCCAGTCCTGTGCTGGGTTTTCCACGTGTGTTACCACAATATGTCAGGCTATACAGTTGTACCCATTTTAAGACAAAGCATTCCATGTCTACTGGCTTAACTTGCCCTAAGCTCTTCCCACTTGCACATT